AATAAAGGAATTGAACAAGGAAGTTTTCTGATCATTTTCTTTGCAGCTAATGTCACGTGAAGAACATTTTTTCTCAGGTCAACCTTTCATCCTCCAGCCTCTTATTAAACCCCTTAGTCTCTGCCATGGCAGCACCTCCCAAACCCTGCCAAAGTTTCTCTTTACTTTCTACCCTTGAAAGCAACACCTGATCTCTCTCTAGTACCAAGAGTGCTCCAGTAAGACTCCAATTTCTTTTTCCAGCAGAGCTGCCTCACCCATTCTGGAAACACAAGTGTCTGTAATAAAACACAGTGCGTGGTGCACAGTGATGCAGCACAACGACAGGGACACGAATCAAATGTCTGAGAGCTGAATAAAAACAATGTAAATTTAAATAGGAGAATATGATTATTGAAGATGGAATTAGGTTTGGACACATGATAAGACTCCATCCATCTGTGAAAAATGCCAGAAGATGTTTTAATGAGATTTTCAGTTATAAATGTTGAGACACCATCAGTCCTGAGGTGATAAGATTAGAGCTTGATTGTGTCTAGTTATGAAAATGGAAGTGTATATAGAAAACTGACCTACTGTGGAAAAGCAATTAGGGACTACAGGGGAACTAATGGTCAAATAAAACAGCTATACAAAGTACCTCATGGCAAAAAAAAAAAAGATATACACTCTGTTATAATTTAACTGACACTTGTAGATAAAACTGTGGTTATGGGTGACTTGAGGCATAAAATGGTCTAAAAAAAGAAATTAAAGCTCTAATAAATTAATGCTGCTTGAACCAATATGCTGTTAGGCATAATGTATTGCAAAGGACAGGACAACTAAGAAATGGTAAGGGAATTCTGGGATCTAATGTCCAGATACCATGATCTGAAAATCAAGCCCAACTTTGACATTTGACTTTGGCAAAGGGGTTTAGGAGAACTGATTTGGAAATGGACTAATTGTACATAAGAAAAGATTTATGAGGGTCAAAAATTAGTGCTTTATTAGTATGCATCTGTTAGGTTTGTTTGTCTATGCTTTAGAAGAGGTAGGTTATGAGTGTGGAGGAGCCTTCATCTCCCCTGGGACTGGCATCTTCACTGTATTTTACATCCAAAGGAAAGGAAATGTGACTGGATATGTGGCTGCTGGATTGGGGATTGGTGAAATAATAATGGGGTTTGCTTGTCAGCACCCATTAAAGACCCTTTTTTACAGACCATGACCCTGATATCTGTGCCTCAGAGCTATGCACTCCTGGCACTGGTTGTTGTAGCTGCCTCATCTGTTATTTCCATCTGTCTTCTTTTTCTTTCAAGTTTACAAATTATGTTCTGAAATGTAATTCAGGGCCCACGTGCTGGTTTGGGCTGAATGTGGCTAGTGTGGGGCTATGTTTGGGTTTTGTGCAGAACACAGAGTTGATAATGCAGAGATGTTTTTGTTCTTGCTGAGCAGAGCTTACACAGAGCCAAGGCCTTTGCTGCTTTCCATACTGCCACACTGGCAAGGGAGTTGGGGATGCATGGGAGATTGGGAGGAGACACAGCTGGGACAGGTGACCCAAACTGACCCAAGGGATATTCCATACCATAGGACATCATGCTCAGTGTATAAGGTGGGAGGAAGAAGGAGGAAGGGGGGACATCTGGAGTGATGGTGTTTGTCTTCCCAAGGAACCGTTACGCGTGATGGGCCCTGCTCTCCTGGAGATGCTGAACACCTCCTGTCTGTGGGAAGCAGTGAATGAATTCCTTGTTTTGCTTTGCTTGTGTGTGCAGCTTTTGCTTTCTCTATTAAACTGTCTTTATCTCAACCCATGAGTTTTCTAGCTTTTATCCTTCCAATTCTTTTCCCCATCCTGCTGGTGGGGATTGTGTGGGTGGCTGTGTGGTTCTTGGCTGCTGCCTGGGGTCAAACCACAACAGGCCATTGCACCTTTTTTATCTTTCCTTTATGCAGCTCATTTAGTGTGGAGAACTGAAAGCTTAAGTGCTAAGCAGTTGTTAGCTTCTAGGCTAATTAATTTCCCCTGAATGGAAGAAACAGAATTTTCTTAACTTAAAATACTTGTGCCTCTTTTCTGAACTTCATCCTCAATGGATTCACTTTACAGACTTCATTTTTTCAGTAATTAATTCCATTGGCATTTATTTTCCCTCAAAGAGCCCTGTGGCTGGTTATCACAGAAGCAAAGAGAGTGTAATGAAGTACATTTCTAAGGAATTTAGGCTTTGTGATTCTATGGACAACAGCCTTCACAACTGCCTTTTGAGAGCAATCCTTACTCCAACCAGAAAATATAGTTTTGCTCAGGTGCTTGCTGCAGTTCCATCTCATATTTTAAACAGGTACCCACAACACTACTCTCTTGTGACAAGATTCATATTTTCTTTTCAGGTGTTAACAATGATCAAATAGATGGTAATAAGTACAATATTTTTCTCAGCAGTAATAAAGTAGCTGAAGTCAAATGCTTGTACTCAACCTAATGGCATACTGACAGTATGTGCTTTGTTCATATGTAAAATGTAAAAAGATGTATTAAACTTTAATGTGCAGAGTGCTGAGTATTAAAAAGAAACAAAATACATAAAGTATTGCTTAATCTAAAGCTTCTAATCTGAATGAAAATTTCTTGAAATTCTCCCTACACATGATCATTTGTTCCATAGATGAGTTCAGCACCCAACTGAATGCCAAATTAGGCTGCCCTGGCTACATTTGCTCCCATCAGCAACTTGTGGAGATTTGTCCATAGGTGGGTATGTCCCACTGACTCCAGTGGAAATTTGCAGGGATCTTATCACTACAAACCTTGCTACTGGAGCAGAGAATTAGTGGAGCAAGTTGTCAAAAAATGGACATTACTTGGCAGTAAATCTCACCCCTGCCCAAGAGCAAGCCACAAGGAGGGTGTAACACTTGCACAGGGTGTTATGCTGAGCATCCCATGCCATAAGAGAAGGGATGGCAGATTTATCCTC